GTGCCGGGGGAGGTGGGCGAGGCGTTCTACGACGGGATGCGCGGGGCGGTGGGCGAGTACGAGAAGAAGGCCCGGGGCCAACGGGGCCACGGGCACGGAGTGCCTTGCCACCACGCGCTGATTGCCGCAGCGCTCATCGGGCAGACGCACTTTTCCGCGGAGGAGATGGGGGCGAAACCGCCCGAGTACCAGAAGATCGAAGAATTCCTGACGAAGTACGACGTGCCCAAGAAGCTGGGGAGGGAGGTGCTGGAGTTCAGGGCCTACGAGACGCGCGACAAGGGCCACCGTTTCCGGTTCCGCCTCGTGGAGGGGGGGGATCCCTTGGTCAAGGCAGTGGTGGAGATCATCGTTCGCGTGTGGATGCAGGCCGGGGGCGAGGAGGTGTTGGGGTCAGCGCCAGCGTCGAAGCGGGAGCGGAAGCTGCAGGCCCGCATTAAGCGGATGAAGGAGTGACCCGGCGGCGCATTGCTTTCCCCCTTGCCTCCTCCTCCTCCTCCTCCTCCTCCTCCTCCTCTCCTTCCTCTGGGCTGGAAAAAACACAGGATCTTGTCGTAACGGCGGCCGCCTGCTGACGAATGCCCCGCCAGAATTTAGTTCCCGTGCTCGGCGGGCATTTGAAATGCGGCCGAAGTGTCGCAACGCACACTTGGTGATCGCATGCTGGCGCAATTCTATGCTCGCCAGTTGTACGCCCTTGTCGACGAATGCAGCGAGCGTGCTCACGGTGCGGCGCTGTCCTGCCCCTGCTTCACTCCGCCCCCTTCTTCCTTTGACGCGCGATGTCTTGTGAGGGCGGCCAGCTGGGGCAGATTCAGCACTGCCGCGACCCAGGCCCAGCGGAGACGCCACGTCGGTGCGTCCCGCTGCTGGTGTGGGGCTTTGACCTGTCTACATAACGGGTCGCGTCGCTCACGTTGGCAAGCTTTGATTGGCGATACTTTATCGCGGCACTGCATATTCCTCTACATATCGATCGGCTTGCTGACTTCGAGTGTGTCGGACCGGACCGGACCTCCCACTCCGCCTCTCTGTCTCTCTCCTCCTGATCTTCCCCCTCCTCCTGCAGCGTGTTCCGGAAGGCTCCCGCCGGAACATGCTGTGCACAAGTGCTGTCACTGCTCCCGCCACCGTGCCCTGGGTGGTGGGTCAGAGGCCTCATGGATGTTGGTTTGCCCTGCGGGGACGTCGTGAAGGCAGTTTCGCAGCTTCTCGGTCGCCGTTTTGGGACCGTTGTGGGGCCTCCTCGGGGCTGTTTTGTGGCCTGTTTAGGCCTCGTTTGGGCCTCCTGGGTGCCTCTTGGGGGCATCCTGGGGCCTCTTGGGGGCTCCTTGGGGCCTCCTGGAGCACTCTTCAAGCGGGAGGGTCGAATTTTGGAGTCGTGGTCCCCCTCTTGGGCGCATCTTGGGGCCGTCTTGGGGCTCTGTTGGGCTGTCTTGGGCGACTCTGGGGCCGTCTTGTGGCGCTCTTGGGGCCCTATTGAGCCATCTTGGAACGTCGGACAGCCGAAAAGGCTGGAAGGCTAAAATCGTTCGACAACCTTAGTAAAATTGACGATCTCGGGCTCTTGAAGCGCTCTGGAGAGGCGTCTTGAAGCGTCGTGGAGTGCCTTGGGGGGCCTCTCGGGCCGTCTTGGGCCTATCTTGGGCGTCCTGGAGCGGTCTTTCGGCGACTCGGGGCCCGCTTGGGCCGTTTTGGGAGCCCCTGGAGGCCCTCCTGGACAATTTTGGACCTCCCCGGCCGCCCCGTCCTCCCACGGGGGGTCGGAGGCGGCGGCCTCCGAGGCCCAGGACGCGGAAACCTGTAAAAACATAGGGAAAAGGAGCCCCAGTACTCCCATGCCCCCTCGGGGCAGCCGCCCTGGGCCTCGCGGCAGGCGGGGGATCAGGGAATGACGATGCGGCGAAGAACAAAAACAAATTCTCGAGGAATGATGGATTGCAAAAAAACCCTTCGGTTTTTTTGCAATCCTTCGGTTTTTTTGCAATCCTTCGTTGCAATCCTTCGTTCCTGGCAGTTCCGGGAATATATTTATCTTTCCGGAGACTGGGAGAGAGCTCGACAACCAGCAGAAAAGAAGGCCAGGAAGGCTATAAGGCGGACGAGAAGGAGGGTGAGACGCAGTTGCTCAAGCCTCTTAGGGGTATGTGTTGGTCTATCTCGGGGCCTTTTTTGGCCTCTTGGGCGGCCTGGGCATGTTGAGGGCCTCTGTGAGCTTTGTTTTTCACCTCTCGGGGTCCGTGTCGGAACTCCTTTGGGCCGTTTTCGGTGCCTCTTGTGCCGTCTTGGGGCCCTCTTGGGCCGTCGTGGGGGCCGCTTGGAGCTCTCTGGGGCCGTCTTGGTGCGGTGTAGGAGGCGTCGTGGGCCGTCTTGGAGCGCTCAGGGGCTGGTTTTGGGCCTCCGTCCGAAGGTCAACAAGAAGTCTGGGGTCGCCGTTGGCGCCTCGGAGGCCCTGGGACGCCGAAACCTTGTAAAAACACAGGGAAAGTGAGCCCCGGAGCCCCCATGGAGGGCGCAGGCACACTCCTGGCGGCCCCGATCCCCTTCCGCTGGCATATATATATATATATATATATATATATATATGCATACAATTACATATACACATACATACATACATACATACATACATACATACATACATACATACATGCATGCATGCATGCATGCATGCATGCATGCATGCATGCATACATACATACATACATACATACATACATACATACATACATACATACATGCAAGCATGCATGCATGCATGCATGCAAACATACATACATACCTACATACATACATACATACACACATACATACATACATACATACATACATGCATACATGCAGACTACATGCATACATACATACATACATACATACAAACATCCATACATACATACATAACGTATATACGTCCATACATACAGACATAAATGCATGCATGCATGCATGCATGCGTGATGCATACGTACATGCATACATGCATGTATACAGACATGCATACGCACGTACATACCAGCATGTTTACAGATGTACATACCTACATATCTACATATATAAATACATACCTACATACCTACCTACCTACATACCTACCTACCTACCTAACTATCTACCTACCTATCTACCCACCTACCTACCTACCTACCTACCTACCTACCTACATACATACATACATACATACATACATGCGCACATACATATACACACATCGCTTGCGCGGAGGGCTCTCCAGAGCGACGCATGAAAATGCTGGAGACGGTCCTGCTCCGACGATGGGCGCGCTTTCCGGCTCCCGGTAGCCTCTCCGGAAACCTGCAGCCGCGCCCGTGCGGGAGCCCTCGTGAAGGTTTCAGTGGGCCTTTCCAGGAAAGGCCCACTGAGCGACCATTGGGGCTCGCCGCGGGCGCCCCGAGGGCGCCTCCCAGATCGCTGGGGCGCCTCGGCGCACCTTGCTCCACGCACCCACCCCATGACACCTCGCTCGCGCTGCACAAGCGCATCCATGAAGCGCCCAAAGCGTCAGACGCCAAGAAGATGCTAAACATTCCTGGGCGTCGGGAAAAAAAAGTATACACCACACCACCCCAGCGTCGCCCTCGACCCTCAAGAAGTCCTGGGATTGAAGAACCGCCCGCCACCGGTGATGTATATGTTCCAGCCTCCGAGCAATGATTCGCCGATCGCTGTCTCCGGAAAGAGCGCGGAGCGGCTTGGGGCCATCTTGGATGCCTCGCGGGCCGCATCGGAGCGATGCTGGGTGCGCCAGGGCAGCGTTGGGGCCCCGTGGGCCTCCCCGGCCGCCTCTGTCGCCCGTCTGAGCTCCGTCGAGGAGCCGCCTGGAGCCCGCCCGGGCGCTCCCTGCGCGCCTCGTGGGCCGCCTTGCTGCCCGCTCGGGGTGTCCTCCTCCTCCTCCCCCCCTCCTCCTCCTCCCCCCTCCTCCTCCTCCTCCTCCTCCTCTCCTCCTCCTCCCTCCTCCCCTCCTCCTTCTCCTCTACTTCCTCCTCCCTCTCCTCCCTCCTTCCTCCTCCTCTCCTCCTCCTCCTCCTCCTCCTCCTCCTCCTCCTCCTCCTCTCCTCCTCCTCCTCCTCCTCCTCCTCCTCCTCCTCCACTGGGGCCCCGCTGGGCGCCTCGTGTGCCGTCTCCGCGCGTCGGGTGGCGGAGCAGACGAGACCACGCGACGAGTGGTGGAAAACGCCTGGGGAGTGAGCGATGTTCGCCTCGTGGGGCCTGTCTCGGGGATGGCACTGAAGCCCCCCCAAACCAATATGAATAGACAATCTCAAGGCAACGCAGCAGAAGTCTGCACACTCGTTGTTTTATCAGCGCACGGGCACTCGTTCAGAAGCTACCGGTTTCGTGCCAACGGCTGCGGTGAATGGACAAACGAGGAGGTATGCACGAGCGGGACAGGAGGACTGCGCCTCGGCGGCTCCCTGAGCCCGCCTCGGGGCAGTGATGGGCGTGCTGGGGCCGCTGTGGGACCCTGAAGGGCCCTGTTTGGGGTCCTTCTGGCGCGTCCGAGCTCGTGTGGGGCGCCGCCCGGAGCCCTCTGGGGCGATTCTGGGCGCCTCTTGTGCCGATCGCTCGGAGATGTGCTTCGTGGCACGGCGCGGTGGCAGCCGATCTCATCAAGACAGACGCGCGCGGGCTGCAGTGGACCGCAGGACCGCAGATACCATTACCAACGAAAGCATGGCTGCAGATGAAGCCACGCGGCTCTCCACTGTCAGGCAGAGCTGCAAGTGGAAGCCCGGAGTGTCCAACATGACAGGTGCGATAAGGCGGCAGTCGAAAGAAGTGGCCTCCGCCCCTTCGCACTGACCGCAGGCGGCGGCACAAACTGCTGACGCGAGAAGGGTAAGTATCGGGAACGGATGCGACGAAGAGGAAGATAAGGGACACTAGGGAAACAAGAAGGACGACTGACGGACTAGCGTGAACTGTACTCGGGCTCAGGAGGAGGAGAAGAAGGATAAGGCATGAGAGGATGACGGCGATGCCTCCATGGACGCGATGCGGCGCTTCAGCGTACGGACATCACCATAGCCCTCTGCGATCATCCACTTCAGCATGACCACGTTGGACCTGCGTGAGAACAGTCAAGCGATGTCCAGGGGAGGAGTGGGAGGCAGGAGAGCAGGGGTATGGGGCAGGGGGAGCAGGAAGAGGCAGCGGGTGTGCAGGGGAAGCTCAGGAGAAGGGAGTCACTCTCGAAGCGTCCCTCTCCACTCTATTCATGCCCCTGCCCTCATCTCTTCCCCTTTCCACTCCTGCCTCCCCTTCTCCCCTTATCCTCCCCTCCCCACTCTCCTCTTCTCATCCCGCCCCTGTCCTCTTCCCCCTCCCAATTCCCTTTTCCATGCCCCACCTTCTTCCTCCCCCTCTCTCTGTCCTGTCTCTTTCCCTCATGTCTGCCTGAGGTACTCGGACACCGACTCCTTGTTGAGCTTGATGGAGCATCCAGCCTCAGGGGAAATCAAACTTACTTCAATTGGGGATCGTTCAACCTTGAACGATCGGCCGTTTCCGAAACGTCATGTTGTTCAACATCGACTAATTCTGGGTCGCCAGCGGCGTTCAATGTTGAACGCCGGCGGCGGGGTCACCGCTGGTCGACACGACGCGAACCTACAGTACCTGGGGGGCTGTCTGCCCTGAGATCCGACGTTGCGAAAAATTGCAGCATCGTAAAAAACCACGACCGAAGCCCCGGACCCCATCATTCTGCGTCACTTTTCGCGCCGGATCGATCTGTGAGGGTCCCAGGGCCCGACATTGGGCGAAAACGCCGAGTGTGAAAAAATTGCGACGCCAGGATCTCAGGGTGTGGCAGTCCGCAGCTTCACCACTTCCGCCCCGACAGACAGACAGACGGACAGATAGACAGACAGACAGACCGACAGACAAACAGACAGACAGACAGACGGACGGATAGACAGACAGACAGACAGACCGACAGACAAACAGACAGACAGACAGACGGACAGACCATCAACGGCGACGCCGACGCCAGCAGCGGCCGCAGGAGCAGCAGCAGCCGCCGCGAAGTAGCGAGCCCAAGGCCTCCTTCTGGGAGGCAAACGAGCGGTGAGCACGAAGACAGGGAGCTCCAGCTTGAGCACGAAGACAGTAGGGGCCCGACCACAAGAAACCTCCCACAAGAAACACAACCCTGAGACCCCAGGACGTCCATCGATGCTTGTTGTGGGAACGTCACTCTTGCCATAGCAACAAACCATCGGAACTCAAGAAACCCAGGGCACCCTGGAGGCAAGCAGGGTGTTCCTTGGCATGGTTTCCACTGTATAGAGCAGGGACCGACCACCCCGGCATTCCCAGGGGCCAACCACGAAATGTTCTCAGAACCCCCAACATGTTCAAAGAACAAAGACAGCGTTCTTAGAACATACGCCCGATGTGCTAAAGCAAGACAGTCTCGGCCAGAAGTGTTCTGAGAGCACTTCGTGCAGACCTAACACTCTTCGGTGGGCCTCTAGGCGAGCCCGGACGCTTCGCCGCTGCTCGACCAGCTTTTTTATCGTCGACTTACCCGCCCCCCTCCCCCTAGAGGGAACAAACAATGACATAACACATAAAATCCGCCGATCCGGCGTGTGAGTTTCAAGGAGTCTCAGCTACAGCCTCGAGGCTGAGCTTCAGCCTCTGGGGGGGTCGCCGGGGTGGCTCTGCCGGGGAAGGGGGGGTGGGGGGGGGGGGGGGGGTGCGAGTTTCCGGCGAACCCCGGGGCCGCTCCGGGGGAGTGGAAGATAGGGGGGGGGGGGGCGCCATGCTCCGCTTTTTCCGGCGCTTTGGAGGAGGGGGGGGGCCCAAGAGACCCCCAAGGGGTTCCAAGAGGGCCCCGAGTCGCCGAAAAATCGCTCCAAGACGCCCGAGATGGCCTCCAGACGGCCCAAGGTGTCTCCAAGACGCCCCAAGAAGCTTCCAAGAGGCCTCCCAAGAGGGCCCCAAGAGGCCAGAATCGTTGATTTTCATTGGTTTTCTCAGGGTTTTTAGCGTTCTTGCCTTTTCGGGCGTCCGACGCTCGAAGACGGCCCAAGAGGCCCCCAAGTCCGTCCCAAGACGGCCCACGATGCTTCCAACACGGCCCAAGAGAGCCCCAAGACGGCCCAAGAGGGCCCCAAGACGGCCCAAGAGGGCCTCTGGACAGCCCAAGAAGGCCCCAAGAGAGCCCCAAGAGGGGCCCAAGAGGGGGACCACGAACCGAAAGAACCGAGCTTTCCGCCCCAAGAGGCCCCCAGGAGGCCCCAAGAGACCCCCAAGGGGCCCCAAGAAGCCCACAAGAGGCCCAAAAGAGGTTCCAAGAGGCCCCAAAACAGCTCCCCAGAGGCCTCCAGACTGCCTCCGGCAGGCCCCCGGTTTCTTCCGCGGCACCGCCCAGGGCGCCACCGGCAGGATGTCCTCCGTCTCATCGTTTTCCTTCAAGTTATCGCCTCTTCCTCATTCTCCTCCTCCTCCTCTGCGACCTCACTCCTATCCCTCAACGATCGCGTCACCGAGTGCCTCTTCTTTGAAACATCCTCGCTCTTCAAACGCACATCCATACACACATGCATACATACCTACATTTAAACACATTTGCATACATAGAAAAACAATCTTCCAGACATACATACTTACATTCACACACATACACACATATTATCATACACACATACAAACATACATACAAACTAAATACATACATACGCGCACAAGCATACATACATACATACGTACCTACACACAGGCACACATGATCAATGCATGCATACATGCATGCACGCGTACATACACACACATATATCGTGAAACTCACCGCGTGCTCGAAACTTGAGAGAGACCGCGGGAAGTCGAGAGAAGCCGCGGAACGAGGCCTCTACTACTACTACCACTACTACCACAACCACTACTACTACTACTACTACCACTACTACTACTACTACTACTACTACTACTACTACTACTACTACTGCTACTACTACTACTACTACTACTAATACTACTACTAGTACTACAGGAGCGTTTCCCAACTAGTATGTGTGTGTGGGTGATGCTGTGTGCGCATGTCTGCGGCGCAGGTTAAGTGGTGTGACTGTGTGTGTGCGTTTGAGTGTGCGCCCATAATTTCTGCGTCTGGAGAATAACCCCGAGCGACCCGGATCGGCGGCACTGGCCGAAGGCCACTACAATCTCGGAGGTCCGCGCGGATTTCCCGGATCCCCGCTGGACCCCTCTCTCTGGCGCGCGGAGCGCGCCAGGGGCGGCGACGGAGGCGCCGCCAGGGGGCCCCAGCGCCGATCCGAGGAATCTGCGCGGACCTCCGAGTTCTTATATGTTCACAAGAGCGTGGATCAAGAGCATAAGGCCCCATCGAGATACCCAAAACGAAGAGCAGTATCCCTCCAGGTCCAAAACTATGATTGTTCTCAGGGCCCGCATGCGGCCCCAAGGCCCATTCCAGCACACCCCTCACACGCTTCGTGGCCCCACAGGGAGCTCCACTGAAGGCGATACTCACAAGTGCGGTATTCACAACTGCATATGGTTGGATCCTTCGCCAAGATCATTTCCGAACCATCTTTCGGTGTTGGGTCTTCGCTTTGAAGAGACAGCGCCCTGCATCACCTCACCTCCCACCTCCCTCCTCCTTCCTCCCAGCCATGCCTCTGCCCTCCGCATGTCCATGTCAGCAGAGTCACACGTTTCGTAGCCCCACAGGGTGCTCCAACTAAGGCCCCAGGGGGGGGGGAGGGAAATCCCTGCGGTCCCCCAGCCATGTCGGCACAACACTCTCACGCTTCGTGACCCCATCAGATGCTCCAACTAACGCCCCAAGAGGGGGACCACATGCGGGCACCCAGCAATTTCGGCACACCCCTCATACGCTTCGTGGCCCCATTGGGAGCTCCACCTAAGGCCCAGTGGCACATCTCGCATGCGTCCCCAGGCCCGCCCATTTCGGCACACCCCTCACAGGTTTCGTGGCTCCAGTGCGAGCTCCACTGAACGCCCCAATGGCAGCGTCCGCATGCGTCCCCAAGGCCCAGTCCAGCACACCCCTCACACGCTCCGTGGCCCCACTGGGAGCTCCACTGACGGCGACATGCACAAGTGCGGTGCTTACAGCTGCAGATGGTTGGGTCCTCCTCCTCCTCCTCCTGCTCCTCCTCCTCCGCATCCTCTGTGATTGGGGGAGGGGGGGGCGGGCCCCATGCGACCTCTTTCGCGGCCCTTGGCGGTCTTCGACCCAGCGCGCCGCGAGCCATCACGAGACCACTTAGAGATCAGGAGGCGGCTCCTGGGAGGTCCTCGTGAGAACGGTCAGGGGCTGGTGAGCCCGGCTGCGGGGCCATGCGGCCGGACGCCACCGAACCATCCTCATCATCATCATCCTCATCCTCATCCTCATCATCATCATCATCATCATCATCATCATCAGCATCATCATCGTCATCATCAGCATCATCATCATTATCATCATCATCATCATCATCACCATCATCATCATCATCATCAGCATCAGCATCATCATCCTCATTTTCATTATCCGCATCCTCATTCTCCTTTCCATCATCATCATCATCATCATCATCATCATCATCATCATCATCATCATCAGCATGATCAGCATCATCATCATCACCATCACCATCACCATCACCATCATCATCATCAGCATCATCATCATCACCACCATCATCATCATCATCATCACCATCATCATCATCATCACCATCCTCAGCATCAACACCATCATCATCGTCCAGTGCTGAGCCGCCCTGGGCGCGAGCAAGCCGGACAAGAAAAACAGCACACGAGGCCCGAGAGCAGGCCGGCCTCCGGCCGCGGACCTGCCACGCGCCGATGCGGAGAAACGCTGCGCGGACCACCCGCCGCGCCGCGGACCTCTCTGCGGGAGAGCGCGTCCGCGCCAGCAGTCCCCGAGGAGAGCCCGGCCGCGGCGACGAGGGCTCCCCAGGATGAGCATACAGTCGGGGCGTTGACCTAAGGAACCCTAAATAAGGAACGAGGCCCCTTTTTTCCATACATCAAACTTCGATTTCCCATCGAAAACACAAGGAAAACCTGAGGCAAGCTGTGAAACACTTAAGGAACGCGGAGCCCCTCCCCAACGAAAAGCGTTCCTTCTTCAGGGCCCCGACTGTAGGGGAACAACAAGTGGCATAAACATATAAACTCGGAGGTCCGCGCGGAGTGCTCGGATCGGCGCTGGACCCCCCCTCCCTGGCGCGCTCCGCGCGCCAGGGGCGGCGCCGCAGGCGCCGCATGGGGGGCCCCAGCGCCGATCCGAGAACTCCGCGCGGACCTCCGAGTTTTTATGTTTATGTGTTTTTTTCCCCTACCCCAGGACGAGCAGAGGCATCGGTACACTTGAGCATCGTTTGACCGATCCCCCAGCGTGGGCTGGGCCCCACTGGCCGATGTGCCCCCCTGATAGGGGACATGGGCTGCCCTCTTCGGGTTTCGAGGGGCACATCCCCGACTGGGGCGGCGAGACGGTGGGGCTCGAGATGTGGATGGGGATGGGGATCGGTTACACGATACCGCATACTTTCCTTGGCGGCGCGCACAAGGGGGTGGAGGGAGGGGGGAAGGCTTCTTTGAAGGAGGCTGCTGCTTCGAAGGCGCCGGCCTTATGTCTATAGCCAAGGCCCGCGCCCCCTAAGAAGCAGGGGTGCTTCTAAGAAGCCCTCCCCCCTCCCCCCACCCCCCTATTTCGGGAGCGGCCAAGAGGGGGGTGTGCAAGAGGGGGGGGTGCAAATCATGACCGGCGGCATGTGCGCGGCCCAGCGGGGGGGCCAGGGACGTAATGAAATAAGAAGAGGCGCCATGAAATCTGGGGAAATATCATGGCCCCCGCCATGATATCCACCCCCCCCCCCCCCTTAGTCATCCCCCCCCTCTTTTCCGCCCCCCGAAAGAAGCAGGGATGCTTCTAAGAAGCCCTCCCCCCTCCCCCCACCCCCCTGTGCGCGAGGCTGCTCTCCTCCTCGGGGGTCTGCGGTCGGGAGCGCTTGCTCCGCTGGTGGCCGCGGCGGCCCCGGCAGCCCGCCGTGCCCCTGCAGAGAGCCCAGGCGGGCCGCTCCGCTCCGCGGGGCGGGAGGCGGGCACGAGCTCGGGACGCCGACGGGGAGAAGTTATATATAAGAAAAAGAAATGGAGGAGGAGGTGGAGGAGGAGGAGGAGGAGGATAAGGACGACACGGAGTAGGAGGAGGAGGTGGAGGAGGAGGAAGAGGAAGACGAGGAGGTGCGGGGTCGGGATGGGGAGATGGAGGGTCGGGAGGAGAGGGGAAACGGCAGGGGTCAGAGGTTGGAGGCCTGGAAATGGGCACCAACACCAAAACAGGGGGATTCCTCCACAGGGGGAAGATGATCCCAGACTTCGGTGTTGGTGGTAGTATTTCGGTCACCTTGGAAGCCAGAACATTACCACCATCACCGAGGTTGGGATCTTCTTCCCTCGGTGGAGGCACACCGCCGATCTTGGTGTTGGTGTCAACCTCTGGGCCTGCGACTCTAGAGGCGACGATCGGGGCGAATAGCCCAGGGGAGAGCAATCCATGTACTCAGGTGCGCCAGTGATCTGTGTCTTCGAAAAGGCTCCCGGGCGAATACGTGTAATGCCCGCCCCTGGGCTACTCGGCCCAATCGTCGCCGCCGACTGGGCAGCGTGTCGCACGCCGGAGCGCGGTGGGCTGGAAACCGGCGGCGCGACGCGTGGACCAAGAGTTCCCGACCGCAGCCTCCCGAGATCTGCACCCGAGCTGGAAAGTTCGGTGGCGGCAACTCTGGAGGGCACTACGTCCACCCCTAAAATGACCACCCCGACGCGCGAAGCCGTTTACTGATTGCCCCCACTGCAGGAATTGAACAGGGCAGGGCTGTTTTAGTAAACGCCCAGGGCCGTTTAGCAAACGCCGATTGTCCGGACCGGGTGGTTCTTCCTCCCTTGAAACTCATCGGAACCATCTTGCTGGCTCTTGCGAATTGACGCTGGTCGACGCCAATCGACTCTACTCGACGCTGATCAACGCTGCATCGACGTGGATTGACGCTAAATCTGCGCTTGCTCGTCGACTGCTACACGCTAGCGAACGCCAATTCAGTCCAAGCACGGAACTAGCAACTACAAGGAACACGCAAGGCTCCCATGACTTGCTACGCGGGGGCAGCAAGCGAACGCAACCACGTCGAAGGTACACCTTGGTGGATGTCTTGCGCATGCAAAGATGGTCGGAACACAGAAGCCAGCTTCGTACTGGTTGTGGTTGACGTGGCGTCCCACGACGGCCGAATCGACCACGATCACAACCAAAGTGCTCATATCGAGGTCGGTGGGTTCTCCCCCAAAGGGGCCCTCCCGAACACATCCCTTTAGTTGTGCTTGTGGTTCCTTGGTGTCCCCTGATGCTACGTAGCGGAGCATGGGCGAGGGGGGAGAATCGGCAGCAGCAGGCGCCCGTGTGGGGAAGCCGAAAGGCACCGACACCGCCGCTCCCCGGAACCCTCTCCTGGGGGCGCACTCCTGCCAGAGTTCCGCGGCGAATCCGGCGGTGGCGACGAGGGCCTGCCAGGAGGCCCAAGAGTGCGAACGCGGGGCGAGGGTGGCGGCATGGTGCCTTTGCTCGGTGGCAACTCGTGGGAGCCTCCCATACCCTCTTGTCGGCTCTTGCGAATCGACGCTAGTCGAGGCTAAATTGACGCTGACTCGACGCTAATCGTTGCTAAATCGGGCTATCCCATCGGCTCCCAGACGCCAATATACGCGAATCGATGCCAGAGGCGGAATCGGGAGGGTATACGAAAGGCTCCCATGATCTGCTGCCGAACCTTTGCCCTCCTCTGGCCATGACTGATGGGCATGTTTTCCACCACCACCACCACCATAAGCTGGAGGGGGGAGGGGGTCCTCCTCCCCCTCTCCTTCTTCCTCCTCCTCACCCTCCACCTCCCTCCCCCCTCCAGCTTATGGCGGTGGTGGTGGTGGTGGAGATCAGGCCCCTCAACGACTTGCCACCGAGCCGAGCAGGGGGGAGGGGGAGCAGCAGCAGCAGCAGCAGCAGCAGGCCCCCTGGAGAGGGGGGGCAGGGGCGGGGCGGGCCGCGGAGCGCTCTGCGGAGGCGTCCGAGAGCTCGAAGCCCTGCTCGCAGGTGAGCGACTCGAGGCCCTCGATCTCGAGGATCCGGCCCGCGAAGATGTTCTGGCGGCGCGGGGCGGGCGCACACAGCGGAAGCTAAAACAGGGCTAAGGATCGGGATAAATCGCTCCAGAGCGTTCCGGAGCGCTCTCAGAGCGTTCCGGAACGCTCTGGAGCGGCCGCGGCGCCCAATACATCCTCCAAACCCGCCGATCCTCAGAGATTTCGAGTTATCCCGATCCGATTTTGTCCCGATCTTCGCGTCGTTTGAAAAGCTGGTCCACGAGAGGCCTTCCGCAAGAGACTCAAGCCCTGAGACCCCAGGGCGGCACCACGGGCCATCGGTGCGGGAGCGTCGCGCTCTCCACCGCAGGACCATCGAAAACCCAGGAAGCCCGGGGCACCCTGGAGGCAGGCAGGGTGCTTCCGGGCATGGGCTTCCACTGCAGGGGAGAACTGGAAGTCGCAGCACGGCGAGTCGGCGATCCGCACGGGCGCTCGAGTGGTCGGGGACGCGCGACACACCGACTGTTCGGCTGCACAGAAAGGGCGCGGGGAGGACCCAGACCGGCCGAAGAGGCCCCCAAGACGAGGGCCCCAAGGCGGCACAAGAGGCCTGCAAGACGCCCACGATGGCCTCCAAGACGGCCCTGGAGCACCCCAAGAGGGCCCCAAGCCGGCCCAGAGAGGCCCCCAAGATGGCCTCCGATGGAGTCAGACGGGCCATGAATGCCTTTAGACAGCCAAAGAGGCCCCCAAGACGTCTCAAAGAGGCTCCCAGGCAGCTCCCAGGAGGCCCCAAGAGTGCCCCCACAGACTCCCAAGATGCTCCCTCCTCCTCTTCCTCCTCCTCCTCTTCTCCTCCTCCTCCTCATCCTCCTCCTCCAACCCGTGCCAATGGTGCGCAGGGCTCCGGTTGGGCCCTCGGGAGTGTACGCCACCGGGGCGACACAGACAATATGGTTTCAAACAAGGGTCACCCCAGCCCCAGTTGAAAACCGCCATCTCGAGCGAGCACTTGCTTTCTCGACATGTCAAGAGGCTGGGTATCGTTTCCCAACTCCTCCGTGGTATTACTGGCATTCGCTCGACTTGTAACACCTCCACAGGGCAGCGCCCTGATGCGGCTGTATGGGGGCGGGTCGTTCTGAGTTTTGCACTTTTGTAAAGGGTATTCTTGCCAATGCCAATGCCGGGGCTGAGGCCCCTCATGCGTCGGGCTATGAGGCAGAGGGCTACGAACTCACGGATGTCGCCTGTAGCTGGACCCGCGCATCATCCTTGATGCTTGCCGCCGTTGCCGCCTGCGTCACTTAGGGTCGGGGACTACGGACCACTGCACAGCAAGTTCGCAGTAGCCCCCGCCCCGCTGATTCGACAGGATCAGCTTGCCAGCAGTAAGGCTGGTAGGGCCAGGGACTGCAGACCACTGCATGGCAAGTTCGCGGTAGCCCCAGGCCCGCTGATTCGACCGGATCAGCAAGCCAGCCATACAGAACATGGTGGCACTCCACCCGCTGCCTTGTAGGGCCAGGAGCTACGGACCACTGAACAGCAAGTTCGCAGTAGCCCCTGGCCTGCTGATTCGACTGGATCAGCGCGTCAGAAGCATGTTGGGGCTCTAGACCCTCATGCAATGCACTAATCATGCTAGGGCTTAAACCCTTCATGCGTCATCATGCGCTTGCTGGGGCTACGGCCCCTCATGCACCTTCGCATCCATGCTAGGGTGTTCCCTCTTCATGTTTTTTTGTTATGTTGCTGTTACCCGCGCGGGTTCCTGGACAGGTACCATGGCTGGGGCCTTGGCCCCTCACACGTTGGCCCCTTACTGGGGCATTGGCCCTTCATGCATTGACCCCTCATGTCGGGGCTTCGACCCCTCATCCGCTGACCCCTCATGCCGGGGCTTTACACCTCATGCGTTGACCCCCAATGTCAGGGCTTCGGCCCCTCATGCGTCGACCCCTCACGCTGGAGCCTCGGCCCCTCATGCGTGTGACCCCGATTCGACTGGATCAGCGCGTCAGAAGCATGATGGGACTCTGGACCCTCATGCAATGCATTATTCGTGCTGGGGCTTCATCTCCCCATGCTTGAAGATGCGCTTGCTGGGGCTAAGGCGGCAGCAGACCAGCATGCGCATCCTCTTCCTCCGTCCTCCTCCTTTCTCTCCCCCCAGGCTTGAGAACGTGATTTAGGGGGCTTGTGTGAAGTTCGCAGCCTCTCTGCACCTCCGCCGTGCCTAAAACCCAAGATAGGCCGGCACACCGAAAATAACCTTTAACAGCGTTTACACCGGAGAGTATTGTAGCAGACCGCGTGTGCTACACCAGCGGCCCACCTTCGTAACGAAGTTGAGGTTAAGCAGAGAAGGAGAAGTAACGAGCTTCCCCCCTGTGAGCGGGAGCTGCCCTCATTACCACGCTTCGCACAGCCAGCTCAAGAAGAGAGGGGCAAACAGATGCCTTCATTTTCCAGGCTGTGTCTAGACATGGATGCGGCACACATCGTTCGACGCACCGCCTCCGAGGCAAGTGGAGGGGGCGGGATGTGCCCGCCCTCGTGTCGACGTGCGCGCTGCCAGTGCACCTGCAGAGGAGCGGCCTGGACGGGCCAGGCTGCGCTCTCTCTGGCCCTGTGCGGTGCCCTGCTGCGCGGCGCGTGGGGCACAGCACTGTACGGCACACGGCGCACGGGCCGCGCCGCCGAGACAATCCGAATCCCACCAGCCCTCTGGGCGTAGGCGGTGTAGGGTGCTTCCTCTTCTACCCCCTTCGTCGGCGGCGGCGGCGGCGGCGGATTGGCCCACAGTAGCTGCCCATCCAAAGACGACTGCTGAATATGCTCAGGCTCGGGCCAGACTCGGGTGCTACGAATGTGCTGGGAGGGCGGGTGGGAGTGAGCGAGACGGCTTGCGGGCGGGGAGGGGGTCTGACCCCTCCCCCTACCTCTTCCCCTGGACCTGGACGGGGGGGTTCGCGAGGGGGTGGGGCGTCCAAGATGGCCTCGGCGAGGAGGCCGAACTCATTGGTTTTGCCAAGGTTTTGGCCCCATGTTGGCCTCTCCGAGTGGGGGGCCCCAATTGAGGGACCCCCCTTCTTCGATCGATCTCCTCCAAGATGGCCCCAAGAGGCGCCCAGGAGGCCCCAAGAGGCCTCAAGATGGTCCCATGTGGCCCCAAGATGCCCACAAGAGGCCCCCAGGATGGCCCCAAGAGGCTCCCAAGAGACCCCCAAGAGGCCCCAAGAAGGCCCCCAGAGGCACCCAAGATGCTCCAAGAGGCCTCGGCGAGAATGCCAAAATCATTTATTTTACGCAGGTTTTGGCCACATGTTGGCCTCCTGGGGTGGGCACTGCTTCAGATGACTCCAAAAACGCCAGGGAGAGCCCAAGATGACCTCCAAGATGGAAAAAGATATCCCAAGATGCCTCAAAATGGCTCCCACGATGCTCCAAGAGGCCCCAAGACCGCTCCAAGACGGCTCCAAGTGGCCAAAGAGCTCCCCCAGGAAGCGCCGAAGAGGCCAACTCCCAAACCCAAAGAAAATAAATGTTTTGGGCTTTCTCTCGCCTTGTCGCTTCCGATTGCTATCCGAGGCTTCAAGAGGACTCCAAGATGGCCAAAGAGCGCTCCAAGAGCGCTCCCAAGGCTCCAAGAGTGCTTCAAGGGGGCCCCAAGAGGCGCCCAGGAGGCCCCAGGAGGCCCCAACAAGCGCCCCAGAGACCCCCAAGAGGCCCCAAGAAGCTCTCCGAGGCACCCGAGACGCTCTGAGAGGCGCCCGGGACCGCCAAGAGGCCCCCAAGACGCTCCGAGGGGCCTCCACTGGGGGACCCTTCCTCTGTGTGCTGCCCACTTCCCTGATCGAGGCACTTCCTCTGGGCATCGTTTCTGCTAGGGCTCCCAACTTCGCGCTTCGCGCTGCGCGAAGCGCGAAGCGCGAATAACTTCGCGCTCTCGCGCCGCCCTCCCAAAGGGAGAATAGGAGGACGAGGAGGAGGGGGAGAAGGAACGAGGACCGCGAAGCGCGAAGCGCGAATAACTTCGCGCCCTCGAGGGAGCCCTTGTTTCTGGATGGGCTGGTTTCGTCGCAGCCACGAGCGAAGGCGCCCGCAGCGGGTCGAGTCGGCTCGGGCCACGAGCGAACCTCATTGCCGGCACGCGCGCAGAAGAAAGCAGGAGCTGGCGGGGTGTTGCGAGGCGTCGAGAGTTTACTGAATGCGCAAGCCCATGAAGCGGGATGGATCATATCCCCCATCTCTGCATCTTGGAGCGAGGGATGCATACCCTCGGCGGCGGGAACAGCACCTGCTCAGGCAGGCCAGGCCCGGGGGACGCTCTGTAGGGGGGAGTGTCGCGTTTGCCACCTTTGGGATTCGAGCTGTCAGTCAACACCAGACGGTGCTGAGGGGCAGCCATCCTCACAGGGAAGTTCACCTCTTTTGCGACACCCCTTTGCGTCGCTGTCGTGCGGCAGAGGTGCCGAGAGGCAGCCTAGACAGACACCCCTCCCTGGCGCAAGCGTTCGCAATAAACGGCAGGAGGAGGAACATGAGGAATTGGATTTTGCAGGGCTATCTCATCGTCGGGTCTGACACCCGCACGGGTTCCTGGACAGGTACAGGGGCCTTCAGATCGGCAACAGGCCAGCATCGCGTCCCCGTCCTCCGTCCTCCTCCTTTCCCTCCCCCCAGGCTTGAAAAGGGCTGCGCTGGCCAGCTCAGTGAATTAACAAAGTGGGGTCCCCTCTAGCTCCCAGGTTCTTGAAAGCACAATCCCATGAAGCGGGATATATCATATACCCCATCTCATCGTAGGGTCGGCATCTTGGAGCGAGGGATACATACCCTCGGCGGCGGAACAGCACCTGCTTAGGCAGGCTAGGCCCAGGGGACGCTCTGGAGGGGTGAGTGTCGCGTTTGCCACCTCAGGGGTTCGAGCAGTCAGTCAACACCAGAAGGTGCAGAGGGGCAGCCATCTTCACGGGGGGGATCCTGGTTTTGCGACACCCAATTTCGCCGCTGTCGTGCGGCAAAGTTGCCGAGAGGCAGCCTTCGTCACAGCGGCTCAACCGATTTTAGAGACCCCCTCCCCGGCGCAAGCGTTCGCAATGAACGGCAGGTGGAGGAGGAGGCGGAGGAGGAGCAGGACAATGAGCAAGAGGTGTACTTTGCAAGGCTAGCACACCAGAGAATGTATCAATGTTGTTTCTGCGTGCTTTATTGCCCCAAGCCCCAAGGGGGGATTGTAGCAATTGGTCCCCGGGGAGATTGGAGCAATCTCGGCCCCAAGAGCTTTCCGTTGTCGATGCATGCAGTGGTCGATGCTGCCCAGTGGTCGCCTGGCTCATGCCTTTCCAGCGCCCTCGTGGGGTCCAGGGTCACCTAAAGAGGCAGAGTGGCCCAACTCTTGGCCTGAGGTGACCTCCCTCTTGGGTCGGCCCCTGGGCCCACTCCCGGGACGCCTGTCCCGCGGCAGTGGTCGGGCTCTCCGCAGCCGTAGGGGCTCGGAAATGCAAACACACGGCCCGTGCGTGCAGCCTTGCAGGGGCCTGGGCCCCAGCTGTGCTGCCACACCGAAGCTGGGGCTGCAGTTCCCAGCGTCTGCCTGACCTGCCAGGGTCCCTGCACCACGCGCAGGCGGCGCAAGCGAAGGGACCTCGGACTTCAGCGGCGGGGGAAGCGCGCGGACCCACCTTGGGATCCGATTTCTCCCCAGAGGGGAACCGCTGGGCAGTGCACGCCAGGAGGCAATCTGCGGACCACTGCTGCGGCAAGTTCGCTACGACGATTTGGGATGCCACCCCGTAGGAGCCCGATTCGATAGAATCACGTGGGGGCATAGGGGCGAGGAGGGGGTGGCGGCCAGCGAAATCGATAAAGAGGTGGAGCATCGACTGGTGTTCCTCACTAAGCACCTCAGTATCGTGGCTATCCGTCACCCCCCACTTTAGGCTGCGCGAGGGACGCCCGCATCGGCCAGACCCCGCTCCCCTAGGGGCTGAGGTGCAGGTCCGACCCGCAGCCTAAGGGTGCATCCGAGATTATCCTCCTCCTTCTCCTCCTTCTCCTCCTCCTCCTCCTCCTCCCTCTGCTCCTCCTCCTTCCTCCTCCTCCTCCTCCTCCTCCTCCTCCTCCTCGTCCTCCTTCTCCCTCTCACCCTCCTCCTCCTCCTCCTCCTCCTCCTCCTCCTGACCTTCCCCGCCATCCTCCCTCAAGTGTTCTCCGAAGGGTTTCCACAACGGTTGGCGGGACACATGGCCCGATAGCTTGGCAGAGCTCTTGCCACAGCGCTCGGCCACATGGGCGATTCCAAAAGGCAGGGCGCGGCGGTGTTTCGCCGTAGGCGTCCTCGGTATCTATATCTCTCTATATATGTAGGTATGTATGGATAGATTCATGTATGCCTGCATGCAGGTATGTATGTATGTAAACATGTATGCATGTGTATGTCCGTGTGTATGTATGAATGTAGATATGCATGGAGGTGTGAATGCATGCATGCATGTATATCTATGTATGTATGTATGTATGCATACATGTATGTGTGTATGTATGCATGTGTCTTTGTACGGATGTACAAATGTACGGGTGGATGTATGCATGTCTGTCTGTCTGACTGTCTGTATGTCTGTCTGTATGTCTGTATGTATGTATGTATGCATGTATGTGCGAATTCTCGCTCTATTATCTCTCTGAAGCGATCGTTGACCCAGCGCGCGCCGCTGCGCGTCCTGCAATGTGTCTCACGCACTGTTGCACTTTAAACCCCACCTCGGTCTTCTCTTTAGCTGTGATGGCTATGCCAAGCTCCCTACGCGGCGACTTCGCATAGGAGT